CCTGTGTCCAACCTGGCCTTGAACACTGCCAGGGATGGGGCAGCCACAGCTTCTCTGGGCACCCTGTGCCAGCGCCTCAGCACCCTCCCAGGGAAGAGCTTCTGCCTCAGAGCTCATCTCAGTCTCCCCTCTGGCAGGTTAAAGCCATTCCCCTTGTCCTGTCCCTACAGTCCTTGGTCAAAAGCCCCTCTCCAGCTTTCTTGTCGGCCTCCTTTGTTAAATGTAAATGAAGCATTTTGGATCCCTCTGTCGTATGCTGCTTTTTGAGGGTCATTGCAATTTGCTGGCCCTTTCTTGAAGAGCCCCATGCAGAACTGGCATCGCTGTATGGACTGGTCTGACGTCAATCCACCCATGTCTTGTCTCCCTTGGATTTGCAGGATGATGACTTTGTGACCCGGGATGACTTTGATGACACTGACCAGCTGAGGATAGGAAATGATGGCATTTTCATGCTGACTTTCTTCAGTAAGTGCATGGGGGAACTTCCTCTTTTTCAGGCAGTGACCCAAAGTAGCTGGAGTTATTTTCACACTTAGGTTTATGTAGCACCAGGGAAAAGCTGTGTGCAAAGTTTTTATGCTTTCTTTAATGTGGAATATGAAGAGGACTTGACCTGCTGCTTTTCTCCTGCTTTCTCAGTGGCATTCCTCTTCAACTGGATTGGATTTTTCCTGTCTTTCTGTCTGACTACTTCAGCTGCAGGACGATATGGGGCCATTTCTGGGTTTGGTCTGTCTCTTATTAAATGGATCCTTATTGTCAGGGTAAGTCGTGCAGTGCAAACCCATGCACATAGACACTTTTTCCCTAGCTCTGTTTTATCCCCCTTACACTGAAATTAGCTGAAGTGGATGGGAGAAGCCCGCTGGTGCCCTCTGGTGCGACATGCCTGCGGCACAAGCAGGAGGGGATAGGAGGAAGCACACTTCTCTCTTTTATTTCCATATAAACTCGGCATATCCGGGCTGATAAAACATCCACTGTGCTCCATCCTGCTGGATCACACAAGAGAGGAAGGGGATGACTGGTCAGAACTAGTTTCTTTTATGGGAGCCTGGACGCAAAGAAAGGCTGACTTAGCATTTCGAAAACTTGGAGGAGGAGAAACAGGAACTGTGCTAGGGAAAAGCAAAAAGGGATCAAGATGTGCTGATGCTGGAAGGAATTGGGGGAAAAGAAAGCCCAAGTATTTTTTGGAGGGACTGGGAGAAAATGTCTCTATGAGGAAAGCTCATTTGGAGCCTGCGGAAAGGTGGTGTCTGTGAAAATGGCACACAGGCATCCCAGGGTGGGAGTTTGAATTTCAAGCAAAAAGGCTCATTAGCTGTGCATCACTAGGGAGTGTTGGGCTGTCACTTCATGCCTGATCTTTTGGGGCTTGGAATTAGAATTTGTCAGTACAACATCTGTTGACTTTTCCTGTAGGAAGTGGAGCTTTTTGGGGTCACCTGGTACCAATGAATTAAGAGCTGTATGCTTGATTAAGGGGTGTGACAGCAGTAGGTGACCTTACCTGTGGATTTGATTTAAACTCTGATAACAAGCTTATCTTTTGTTAGGATTTAAAACTTGAACAGAATGAAAACAAAACCCTGCTGTATTTACCACCCACTGACACAGTGAGCTTCAGTGCTCTGACAGCATCAGTGCCTTTCAGTCAATGGGCAGTAATTTTCCCAATAGAAAAGCTTGTCAGAGAGTTCCACATGTCTGGGATTTCTCTTTCAACTGGACTTTTGTTTTCAACCTTACAGTGTAATTAATGCACTGCTGCAGACCTGGTCTTCCCTTTCAGAAACTGCAGCTGTGGTTTACAAGCGTCAGAGACATAAGGGAAAATAGGAGTATTTACCCAGTCGTGTCTTTCTGCTCGAGTGGTTGCAGGAGTTTATGGCTGGGTATTGTTCTGTTCCATTCACCTGGGGTGTGTGGAAAAACCTGAAATGAGTCTGTGGAGGTGGCTTGTTCCCTGCAGGCAGTGCAGCTCGTGCAATGTGGCCTTCTATGAAGTCTCTTCAGTGCAG